TTGAAATTTAATTGCCACTGTGAAGTACCTAGAAGGTRGAAAATCAGGCCTTTGAGAGGTAATAAGAATTAGATAAGATCATGAGAGCACAGCCTCCATGATAAACTCCTGGTGGCTTAATGAGAAGAGGAGACCAGAACACATAGGTACACATGTTCTCTGTCTCAAACCATGTGATGCCCTGCACCTCCTCAGTAAGAAGTCCATCACCAGATGTAGGTCCTTGGCTTTGCACCATGAGCCCAAATAAACTTCTCTTCTTTAAGATTTATCCAGGCTTTGGTGATGTAATTATTAGCAATAGAAAAAGACCATGACAGTGTGTGTGTGCTATTTGATGCAGCAAAAACTCATTYCATGTATGTGTTCCTGTAAGTCTGTGTATGAGTTGAACATATATTCAAGTGGGAGGAGGGCCTAGAAAAATTATTTTGTAGCAACCACTCTATGTGGGCAAATATTGCTTCCATCCAATAATGGTTAATTTTATGTATTAACTTTACTGGACATAGCTGGCTAGACATTATTTCTCTTGTATATGCCAGGGTGTCTTGAAAATAGATTAGCATTAGAATTGGTGGACTGAGTTAATCAGATGACCCTACCCAATGTGAGTGGGCATCAATGAATCCCTTGAAGGCCTGAGTAGAACAGAAAGGCAGATGAAGGTTTTGTTGATTTTCTGCCCGAATGCTTCAGTTAGAATGTAGATCTTCTGGCTTCTGGTGCTCAGGCCTTCAAATTGCATTGGAATGGCATCATCTATTCTCCATCTCTCAGGCCTTCAAACTATTGCCCCAGCCTTCTTGGGTCCCCAGCTTGCAGATAGATGTCAGCTCATGAGATGTCTCAGTCTCTATAATTGTGAAAMACAGTATCATATATGTCCTAATTATCCTAATTATCATAATCAATATAATAAATAATATAAGACATAGAATATCGGTCCTATCACTTATTGACATATATAAAATATAGGCTATCATTTTATCCTATCATTATATATCTCTTATCATCTTCATTGCTCCTAAGAATCCCAATTAACACATGTCACTATCATTACACCGGGTGAACTTTGAATATCAAATAAAAAATCAGGGCATCTCATCAAGTAATTATGAACAATTTTGTAGCTAATTAGAATTGTTCCACTATCTTTTTTATCATAGTTTACTTGATTCTTATGGTCTATTTTCAAGAAAATTAGACACTTGGAATTCAAATAAAAAATAAATTATCTCCTTCAGACTACATCTTGACTTTTTTCTACCTAGGATCTACCCAATTCTGATTAAGCCCTCTTGAAGTACTCAGAGATTTGTTGCAGCATGTTCGAGGCCAGGAGCTTTCTTGTCATCTCTTCCTCTAATAACTTTTGGCGCATTTCCCCGAGTTCTTTGAGTCCTTTACCTGGCTGGTCATTGATTACCTCTGGGAAGAGACTCACATGAGAGCACATGGATACTCTGGAATCCTTAGGGGTGGTTGAGAATCACTGAGTTAAGAGATACCTTTTACCCCTACAAAATGTATGATAATTGCATTTCTAGACTTCTTCTAGGTATTTATTCCCACCCAATATAATTTAATCCTGTACCAGGAAACCAGAGATGCTCTAAGCGGCAGAAAATGTTTTTGGTATTCCAATTTCCATCTTTCTTAGATTCTTGTTATAGGAACCATGACCCTTAGATCCTAGATGACACCGCATTGTGGCTGGATTTCTTCTGTCCATGTGGGATATGGGTACCTTTCCTCTTTATGGCCTTATACTGCTTCCTTCTTAGTATGTTTCTCATAAACCRCCATTGGAAGGTGGTTATGCATAATGGCCCCAACTTCTTCACCACCCTTTATTTCATGCAGTCTTATCTAAGCAGACTTCTGCACTCTTTTTATCAAAGAAAGTTTCAAAAATCAGATCTCATGGTCATTTCTCAGCCCTTACTTTCCATGAGAGAACAACTGAACTACTCCTCCTAAAGATTGTTTACCCGATATCTTTTAATACCCACTCATGCTTTTTATTTTCTTTCACCTCTGGCTTTCCTCCCTTCCTCTCCTCACTTCCCATTTAATTTACCATGACTTATAAGTCATACTAAACTCAACATTCACAGACATGACTCCCTTCCTTTTCTCTCTTTCTTTGGAGAGTAAAGCCACTCATGGCTTCATCTAGTATTTCTGATACCGAAGAATATAACTCCTTGGTTAGCAAAACAAACAAGCAAACAAACAAATTCCTGAGAGCCAATTTAGGGTGTTAAATAGAAATTACAAGAAACCATTGTTTTGGACTAAATTCCTGCCCTGGACCCCAATAGAACAGGCAAAAAAAAAAAAAATCAAAATGGAATCACTTATTACTAAAGTTCATTGTCACCAAATGGAATTATACTGTTTACCTGACCCTCTGAAAAATCAGAATCAGAGCAATAACAACCAAATTTCCCAATCAGACCAGTTTCAGTTGGTAGTATAATAAAGATCTCTCTGCTTTAATCTTTACACAAAAGAAGTGACCTGAAATAACTGGATCTTAACCAGTTAGTTATTTTTCCATTGTTCTGTCTCACTTTACAAGGAAAGTAAAGTGAAATGATAGGCGGATTTTTTGTCCTTTTGTTTCTTTCTTCAGCCTTCTGTGTCTATAAAACCAGCTTATTTTGCTCAGGTCACAGGAACACTTATTCAATTTTATGGAATAAAGTTTTGCCCAAATAYGGAATTTAAATAAAATCCAATCAAGATCTTTAAGCTAAATTGTTGTAATTTTTTCCTGTGACAAGGCCACCAATAATGTTAAGGAGCTTCATTCAAAAATGCAAAAATAGTTTTATTAAGTCCTATGTCAAGAATATATATTCTGACCACATAAACAACTTATCAGGCAAATTAAGGTCAATCSGGAAATTGACGTGGAGTTCCAATGACTAATTATCTACAAATAAATACATAATTATATATTTTATAAATTGTTTGTATAATATATACTTATATATTTTATATATATTTTAGCAGCAACACAGAGGCAGAMTTCTAATCTTTTACCACATATACAGGTGGACCAGTGTGTACATGGCTTTTCAGATGTCACCAGGCAAAGTGCAAGAGGCAGTGTTAATCCCCCTCAGTCTTTGTTCTCAGCTCCTTCTCTTGGTTCTGGTTCTCCCTGCTTGAGCTGGCAGGACTTGCTTCTGAGTTCCTTCTGGGACCTGCTGCTCTGTCAGCAAAGTTCAGGCAGAGTGGGTCTTCCCTCTGTCTAGGCAGTGAGCTGTCCATTTTCCGTTCAAGAGGCAGTTGATTTCATTGGCTCTTGGTGCGCTTCCTGTTTCCAGGTCCTGTGAGGGACATGGTGTTGCAAGAAGTGCAGTGTTTCATCTGGAGTCTCATATACGACAGGTAAGTCAGAAACGGATTGATAGCATGGTAATCCTCAGGGGCAGGGGAAGTGTCCTATGGTACTATGATTCGTCTCATTCTTCTAGTGAGCCTGTACCCAGCCAGGGCTGTAACCTTACTTCACAATTGCATCTAAGCTTTTTTCTTCTATTTTTAGGAGGATCGTGAACCAGGTAGAGGCAGCTGGGGCTGAGATTTTATCCTCCCTTGTGGAAGGGTAAAAGGAGATAGATTTGAAGTGTCCCTTCCCCCAGGTAGATTAGGCCCTGGTAATATGCTTTCCTTTAAGGGCAGGCTTTTGCTAAGGAGAAGAGAAGAGAGTGTTCTGGATATATTTCACAACCATCTAATTTCCCCTCTCCTTGCAGGAAGCACAGTGGGATTTTTACCCTAATATTTATCCATTTTCCCTGAGAATCTGGTAGGGTTTCTAGAGGTAAAACGAGAGAGAGAGAGAGAGAGAGAGAGAGAGAGAGAGAGAGAGAGAGAGAGAGATTCCATAACCCCATTCAAGAGTTTTAACTGTCAATATTGTCCAATATTGCTGAGTTTCTAGCAATTCATCCCCTGCAGGTCAGAGTACTTGCTCCACATCAGACTCTGGTCCTTTAATTTTTTGTCTTCTGTATTTGCCTGTCTCTCCAATTATAAGGGCGACAGACAATTTATCCTATGACCTCAATTCTCTGATGCTTCTAAGAAAAGTTTGTTGATTTTCTAGTAGTTTGGCTTTTTTCTTGTGGTGAGGATGAGAGAGATGATTGCTAAGTTTTTTACATATTGGATTGGAAACTCATTGGGAGGTCTTCATTTAATATTTTTAATCGAAGAAGTTCAAAGTATTATTTTTTAACCTCTTATTGACTCATACAAAGATTCCTTTTATCCCTTGTTATGTAACCRTTACATCTCCTTCCAAAGTATCTAGCTTTCCTTGCTCACCTGGATGGGTGGCAGGTCCAAAGGAGGCCAACAAGCAGAGGGAGCTGGTGTTTATTGTGTGACTCAGGAGGCCTGGAACTCAAGTGCTCACACAAAGAAAGTAATGTTGAAGTCCAGTGCCTCTGAATGTGATCTTATTTGGAAACAGTGTTGGGAGCCAATTTATTAAGATGGAGTCATTCTGGAATCAGGTAGACATTAAATTGAATGACTGATGCCAATATGAAAAAGGGGAAATTTACAGGGACAACACCATCTGAAGAGACACAGGGAAAAGATAGCCAGGGACAGGAGTCTGGAACACATCTTTCCCTCAGAACCTGAATAGGAACYAACMCTGCTGACACCTTCTCTGAACTTCTCACCTCAAGAATGATGAGACAAAACATTTTTGYTATCTATACCACCCAGATTGTGATATATTGTAGTCCTGGCAAACTAATATGAATACATTTCCTTATTTGTTCTTCCCTAATCATCCCTGCAAAAAGGATGMAAAGGTCTTTTGTTGCCTAAGGATAATATGAAGGCACAAAGTTTTCTTAAAATTAGTCTTTGCACTTAGTTTTTAAAGTACTAAGTTCCAGGAACCATGTGACCACTTGTGTTTTCGTCTATAAATAGTAAGACACACTCTGTTTTGCAGTACTCTTTGGACTTCAGCATGACTACTACTCAGTTTCTGGCTTATGCGGCAATTTCGGTTTTCTGTGTCTTAAAAGTCAACTCCTTGGATACTTTTATCGCAGCTGTTTATGAACATGCAGTGAGACTGCCTGATGACCCCCTAACCTTAGTGTCTCCTGAAGAAGCATTGGCATTCATGAACAGGAATATTGATGTTTTGGAAGGAGCGATCACGTTAGCTGCAAATCAGGTACCATCTCTGCCATCTCTCCAGTGTGCTAGATTCTATGAGAAAGATAGGGTCCCAGGGGAGAGATGTTGTCAGGGTCAGTTACAATTTTGGGTGATGTGTGTATCAGGATAGCCAAGATCCTTTGTTTTACAGTTAGAATCTCACTTTACTCTCAAAATCAACAGAGTAAGGACACTCTTACACTCCCAACAAAGAGAGGAAAGCTAAGAAAGGAATGGTTTGGTCATCATTAAGAAATAGCAGACCTTTGAGGAACTTGCTATAAATTCAACATATTCCTTTTTTCTGCTACAGATGGGGGTGGAGGATAGATGGGTCAGGGAACAGGTACTATCCTCAGAGTATTCATGGCCTCAGTGTCCTCTTGTATCCTTAAGAGTTTGCAGGTTTTCAGGTAAGTTTATAATCTGAAAACATGATTCAAGTTAACAAATGACTTGCAAGTGTGTATTATATACTACATGCTTCATTCTAATTATAGGATAAAAGTATATGTATTATTGAACAGTAAGTCCTGGAGTTAAATGAAGACGTAAGTTTGAAGCAAAGCCCATGCAGTTTAAATGTGTGGTTTGGACAAATAAGATTTAAATAAGATATTCATAGGTCAGGTATAGATCAGAAATAAGAGAGGATGTTTATAGGCACATACATATTATACAATCTGTTGATGTATATATATATTTTTWAAAATATATTTTTAGTTGTTGATAGACCTTTATTTATTTATATGTGGTGCTAAGAATCGAACCCAGTGCCTCCCATGTGCCAGGCAAGTGTGCTACTGCTGAGCCCCAGTATATTCTTATGTATATTAAAACATGAGGTTATCAGGAGATCTGATGCTCTTTCTCAATTAGTCCAATTATTTCTTTTAAGATCACAGCGACCTTCAAGGTGACCCTCCGATCCAAAAGTGCTCATGTTAGCGCAGGCAGTACTTCTAACCTTAGCACAATTCAGGTAACTGTTGTGTGAYTCTCCTCCTTCATTGGAGCAGGAATCCGGTTTTCAGGGTGGCATGCAGGGGAAAGCTAGAGCAGAAGATAAAGTAAACAAAGAATTTGGGTTATAAATCAATCCTGGCACAGTAGTCACAATAATTGTCCAAAGTTCAGGGAGGAATTGATTTCAGGAGAGCTAGCTATATAATTCATGATTGCAGAGAATGGTCTGGAAAATTATTAACATCTTTGAGAGAATGAAAAAGCTATCTAGAACAGCAATGGCAGGATTAGAAGACTAAAGAATTTGGGAAAAGAAAACAAATTAGATCAATGTAGAAAACAAACAAATAAGATTGAAAGGGGGAAGAAAAGACTCAAATGGATGTTAGCCATTCAGTTTCTCTTGCATCTCTACCCCTTGCAATTTTTCCCTATTTGAGAAATGTTTTAATTAACTATATATTTTTTTAAACAGGGAGCACATATAATTGTGACTCCAGAAGATGGTATTTATGGTTACAATTTCAGCAGGGAATCTATCTACCCATACTTGGAGGATATCCCAGACCCTCAAGTGAACTGGATTCCCTGTAATAATCCTAACAGGTAAAAAAAGAGAATGTGAAAAAGTCGATCATGAACATCAACTTCTTTTGCCTGGGAAAACTTTGCATAGATGTCTTGTGAACTCTACGCTTCAAAATACTTTGTTTTTCATTATTATGGATGTATTGATCAGAAATGTGAATTGTGAAATCACAGAAATTAGTGTTAGAAAATGGCTTAGAAATCATCACATTTCAGCCAGATTTGGTGGCACACAATGCAATATCAGTGACTTGGGAGGCTGAGGAAGGAGGTATTTAGGGGGTGAAACAAGATCCAAATCTTAGTCTCTAAATTCTTGCCTGTGAAAAGAAAAATACTTTCCTGTGCACATTTGTAATTTGAAACTATATGAGCAGATCACAAAAGAGAGGCATGTGTCCATTTAGAATGAATGATTTTCCTATTTCATTGGTCAAATAGTTGATGAGGCTGAGGTATTAAAACCCTTAAAGCTTAGGCTGATTTTTTAAATTGATTTTTAATAAATAAATAAATAAATAAATAAATAATAACAGCGGAATGCATTACAATTCTTATTACACATATACAGCACAATTTTTCATATCTCTGGTTGTATATAAAGAATGTTGACAACCCAATTTTTGTCTTCATACATGTACTTTGGATAATGATGTCCATCACATTCCACCATCCTTGCTAATCCCTTGCCCCCTTCCTTTCCCTCCCACCCCTCTGCCCTATCTAGAATTCATCTATTCCTCCCATGCTCCCCCTCCCTACCCCACTATGARTCAGCCTTCTTATATCACAGAAACATTTGGCATTTGTTTTTATGGGATTGGCTAACTTCACTTAACATTATCTTCTCCAACGCCCTCCATTTACCTGCAAATGCCATGATTTTATTCTCTTTTATTGCTGAGTAAAATTCCATTGTGTATATATGCCACATTTTAGTTATACATGACAATAGAATATATTTTGACAAATTACACATACGTGGAGTACAACTTCCCATTTTTCTGGTTGTATAGGCTGATTTTAACCTAGGAGGTGATCTAGCAGAATTGTGCATATTGCTTAAATCTGGAATAGACTAAAGAAACATTAAAATAGTACTTTTAATATTAAAAATATGTAGAAAGCCAATATTTTACATACCTGGGAGAATCATGTTAGTGAAAACACTTTTTTCCGAATGCACCATGGCTAACATTGTTTTAGGAATTCCTCTTTTGAATCAGCTCTGAAAACCACACAAACCAAATATTATAGCTACTGATAAAGTCACCTTGATTTTGACAAAGTTCAGTACTACTTATCTTAATCAATCACTTTATTCTCATTCCATTGTATCATAATTATTTCTTATATAACCATCTCCCATGCCAGACCTTCAGTGTCTTAAAGACCAGAATTCTATTATTACTTTCATTATGAATTGAATTGATTTTGCTTCTGAATGGCATTTCCCTTCTCTATGAGTTTGACTACTCTAGGAATTTTACATAATGGAACCATATAGTATTTGTCTTTTTGTGATTGGCTGATTTTACTTAATGTTCTCAATCATCCTTGTTGAATTTCTTTTTTTTTTAAAGGCTGAATGATGTCGGCATGCATGTGTGTGTGTGTGTGTGTGTGTGTGCACGCCATATTTTGCTTATTTATTCATCCATAGACCCTTTCTTGTTTTACTCTATGAACATGGGTATATGAACATCTCTTTGATATCTTTCTATTTTAACACTTTTGGGTTTATATTCCAAAATGAAATTGGAATAGGTTTTTTTAAATTTTTTTTTGAGAAACTAATAAACTGCTTTCTATAATGGCAGGTACTCCACCACCAGTATGCARGGTTCCAATTTTTCCACATTCTCACAAACTTTTGTTATTATTATTAATTATTATTTACTGGTAGTAGCCATCCTGATGGGGTGTAAAGTTGGTATGTCATTGTGGTTTCGATTTGCATTTCATTAATGATTAGTCATGCTGAGCATYTTTTCATGTGTTTATTGTTCATTTGTGCATTTTCTTTGAAGAAATATCTATTCAACCCTTTTGCTCATTTTTGAATCATTGTTGTTACTGTTGACTTTTAGGAGAGCTATATGTATTCTGGATATTAATATTAGTACATATTTTTCTTTGTACCTTGTAACTTTTTTTGACTTAAAGTCTATTTTGTCTGATAATAAGAATGGTGCTCYTTGATTTTTGATGGGATTATGTCATGATTAAATAAAATGTTATACGTGAAAAATGCTTTTAGTGGGCCAGATTTACTGATCATTGTATCTTAGTCTAGACTACATAAATGTGCTCAAAACATTTGCATTAACCTATGGTTGGGCAAAATCATCTAATATAAAATCTATTTTGTAATATAGTGTTGAATATCCTGTGTAATTTACTAAATACTGTACTGACAACAAAAAACAGAATGGTTGTGTGAGTATGCATTTGCACCATTGTAAATTGAAAAATTGTATGACTACACATAATCGATAGTGGAGCATCTGTATAGTCATCCTCATAACCATTTGCATAAAATATCTTTTTCTATCCTTTCACTTTCAACCTATTTATTTCTTTGGAGTTAAAGGAACTTTGGGGACAGCATGGAGTTGAATTATATTTTTTTGAAGTTTCATTCTGTCAATCTCTGACATTTTATTGGAGAGTTTAATGCATTTACATATAATGTGATTAAAGACAAGGAGGGACTTACCTCTGTCAATTTGTTGTTTTCTGTGTCATTTTGTTTTCAATATCCCTTATAGCTTTTTGTTTCTCATTTCCTGCATTACTGTCTTATTTTGTATTCAGTTGATTTTTATGAGACATTTAAATTCCCTTCTCATTTTCTTTTGTGTCTATCTATATCTGTTTTCTTTGTAGTTGCCATAGGGATTATATTTAGCATCATAAGGTTATAATACTCTAATTTGAATTTATTTAACTTCAATAGCATAAAAATTGCTCTTATACATCTCTGTCTTTTTCTATTTCAGTTATTAACTTCACATATTTCTGTCATCATACATTGTGTGCCCCAAAACATACTCATATTTTTTAATTATTAATTTTTAATTTTAATGTATTTCTAACACTGAGCTACATTCTCTGGCCATGATGTTGTAATCCACCTGCCTCAGTCTCCTGAGCAGCTGGGATTATAGGTGTGCACCACCATGCCATCAAGACAATTGTTTTAAAGTCTTTTTCTAGTAGGTCTGACTCTGATCTTTTTCAGGGGTAGTTTCTCTTGGTTTATTTTGTTTGTTTTTGGTATTGTTATTTTCTTCTTCTTCATTATTKCAGACCTTTGTTGAGGATCAGCTTGAAGTATAAACATAAGATCTTCTCAGATCTCTTCTATACCTGTGCCTTTTCCTGAGTTTGGGTGGCAACTTTCTAAATTCCCATATATGTTGGTCTGATTCTGTATGTCTTAGTTATTAACTGTATGGCTCMTAAAAAAGGGAAAAATGAAAGGATATTTGTGTATGGCTCCTAAAAAAGGGAAAAATGAAAGGATATTTGAGAAGGCCCTTTGAACACCTTGGCAGTCACTTTGGTCCTAGAGGAAGCAGTTGCATCCGTGAGTTGAATGCATGTGTATGTGTGCAACAATGCTGCTTGCCTCTGTGTCTGTAACTCCATACTCTGAAGCAACCAGTACTGATCAGAAAACATATCCCTGATATCTAGAGGACTGAGTTTTAATGCTCACCCTGATCCTGCAAGCTGCCTGCAGACTTCTCCAGGAACACACATGCAGCATCCTATCACAGRTCTTGGGGTGGGATGGGAAACCACTGCTGAGCGTAGGGGGGAAATTAACTAAAATTAAGCACCATTTACCTTCCAAACTTCCACTGGAAGTTGCAGTCTTTGAATGGAGTTCAGAGTTTCAAACTACTGTATCAGATGGTTTCTACCAGTGTAGTTTTTATCTAGTTGGGTAGTTAGATCCCTGGTGCTTTCTACTTTCTACTCCACCATCTTTCCAGGATCCTCCTTATTACAAGTTTTGGTTCACTCATTCAAAATATTTTGTAATGCTTCTTTGCTGCTGTCAGGCATGGGTTAAATATTCAGGGTATGCAGGTCTTTGCCTCAATTATCTATAGGATACTACAGACATTGAGAGATGAACACATAAATGGACATGTGATTATAGGTTATAATCCATGCTGTGAAAAAAAAAATACATGGCTTGGAGTTTTACACTGGAGTAGTTTTCTACAGCCAAATTTTCTCTAAACCTTTTTCTCGTCTAAATATGTCYCTTCTACCTATTGATATTAAGAACATTTTTGTATATATCAAATGATAGGTTCAGACAACTATCATTCTGAATTTTTTTTCAAAGCAAAATTAAGTTGAAAATATCATAAAAAACTAAACTTGATTAATTTTTTTTCTTTCAATGAACATATACCAGATTTGGCTACAACCCAGTACAAGAAAGACTCAGCTGCCTGGCCAAGAATAACTCTATCTATGTGGTGGCAAATATAGGGGACAAGAAGTCATGCAAAGCCAGTGAGCCTCAGTGTCCTCCTGATGGCCGTTACCAATACAATACTAACGTGGTGTTTGATTCTCAGGGAAAACTSGTGGCGCGCTACCATAAGGTAAATTTAATTTGCAAATAATTGAGTTATTGAATGCTTAATGAATTACAGTGAACAAGACAAAAACCCTCTTAGTATTGATAATAAGTGTACATGGAAAGTAATGATTAGGTTTGGTAAGTTCTTATAATTTGCTGTACATTTGGGAGCACATGAGTTTGTTGTAGGTGTATGTGAGAGTCAGCAGGAGTTACCTACATTGAAATATAAGGTTAATTTTTAGGCTTTGTTCTTTTAAAAATCTGCCCTCTTGATGAGTCAAAGAATGAAAAACTCCTTATCAGATAAACTCAGTCTTGACAATGGACAAAATAAAGCTTTTGGCTCACAGGCAATAGTTAAGTGTTCTTGGCAAACAGAGATKATCTATTTTACTTCTTTACCTTGTGAAATTCAAGATGGTCTTTGCAGATGAGAATACACATACAAATAGCTGTAATGGGAAGATGGAGCCAAAGGCTCTATTTCACTGGAGTGGCCTCAGGTTCTCCAAAGCACTGCTCTTCCCATGAAGGCAGCCATGATAGGTGAAACTGGCAATGTTAAATTGATGTGAGCTTGCATTTTTTCAGGTACACTGATGTCCAGGCCCACATCTTGAAAGAATTTCATTTCCCTTCATCTTCTGTTTTTCTCAGCAAAACCTTTTCATGGGTGAAGACCAATTCAATGCACCCAAAGAACCTGAGATGGTGACATTTAACACAACCTTTGGAAAGTTTGGCATTTTCACTTGCTTTGATATTCTCTTCCATGATCCTGCTGTTGCCCTGGTGAAAGATCTCCATGTGGACACCGTACTCTTCCCAACAGCTTGGATGAATGTCCTGCCACATTTGTCAGCGGTTGAGTTCCACTCAGCTTGGGCTATGGGCATGGGAGTCAATTTCCTTGCATCTAATTTACATAACCCCTCAAATAGAATGACAGGTAACATGTGGTCTTTAAGATATATAGGCTTTGAATTCTACCAATAAGTATGCAAATTATAATACAACAATAAAACATATCGAAAAGATTTTTAAACTTGATATAATCAGAAAAACGAAAATTGTTTTTTGAACACTAACATGACTAACATGTACTCCTTAATACAATTGTTTTCCAATTTTTAGCTTTTGAACATTTAGCTGGTGACACACTTCAGGATCACTCCCAATCTAAACTGTTTTATAGATTTATTTTATTTATTTAATCGATCTTATTTCCTGAATGCATGCATACTTTTTCTTTTTTTTCAAAATCCATCACTTCTACATCCTTCTTGATTTCCCATTTTCACATTTTATTGGATCCTCTCATCTCTGCCCCCTTATCAGCGCATTTTACTGAAATTAATGAAATACGTAGGTTGGCTTGAACTGATGAGTTTAAAATGAGCATTATGAAACCTTTCTCCACTTTCCTAATTTAAATGGCATCTCCAACTGATTACTTTCAGGAAGTGGTATTTATGCACCTGATTTTCCAAGAGCATTTCATTATGATATGAAGACACCAGAGGGAAAACTTATCATCTCAACACTGGATTCTCACCCATCCCATTCCATAGTGAATTGGTCTTCTTACGCCAGCAGGATACATGCATTCCCAACAGGAAACCAAGAATTCAAGGGCACGGTCTTTTTTGATGAATTCACCTTTGTGGAGCTCACAGAAATCGCAGGAAATTACACAGTTTGTCAGAAAGAGCTCTGCTGTCRTTTAAGCTACGAAATGTCTGAAAAGAGATCAGATGAAGTTTATGCCTTAGGAGCATTTGATGGATTGCACGTTGTTGAAGGGCGCTATTACCTACAGGTAATTTTTGGTGTCAGAAATTGCAAGGTCAAATACAAACACTCGGGTAAATTTAAGTGTKAGATAAACAGTGAATGATTTCTTAGTATTGTTTAAGTATGTTTCATTTTTTTTTGAACAAATATTTCCTAAAAATAATTCTTTATTGGAAATTCAAATTTGGTTGGGCAGTCTGCACTTTTATTTTCTAAATCTTGCAATCTTAGTTGTCAGTACAATTTTAAATAGATCGGATCAAAGTAGAACATTATTTGGAGTGCCAACATTAATAAAAATTATTCAGATTGCAGATAATTTTAACAGATAATTAAATACATATGATATATTCTACCTGAACAAATTTAGACATTTTCCCTATATGTTCACTTATTCCTATCCTGTTTATAACAAAGTTGACTTTTAAGTAGTATGTACTGAGAACAGACGAAGCTGTTGTCTGAGATTTTTCAGTAGAATGGTTTATTCCTTCAAACATCAGATATCTCACAATCCTCAACATTTAAAAAAGAGGGGCTATTATAATTTGGTAAGATGGAATCCCAAAGAACAAGTGACCTCTATGTTCCTCTCATTCTGCTCTTTTCTTTCTTGGTCTGGCCCCCATCCTATCTCACTCAAATTATTGCAATAGTCTTCTAACACAGCTTTCTGTAGACAGTCTCAGATCCATTCACTCCATTTTCAGTGCTACAATCACAAAAATTATAAAATGCCATTTCTGATTTTATTACTCTCCTGCTTAAAATTCCTCAGTGACTACAAACTGACAACTAAGTTCCCAAGCAGAACAGACTGTCAGTCTTGATGTTCGGTCCTTTCTGTTTCTCTATCCTCTTCTTTCACCTGTACCCACATGTGCCTTGAGCTTCTGTAATATGAAGACATTTTCCCATCTCCAATTTGAAAAGTGTGTGGGGCCTTTGTGCATTTGCAGTTTATTTCCTTTGTCTGTGGTGACCCACATCTAATAATTTCTCATAGAACATTCCTTTTGTTATCTCCACTAAGAAATTTTACCTGACACTTCTGTAGTACCACAGCCATGCCCCAGCTGGGTTGGGTACCTCTTTCACGTCCTCCCAGAACACCCTATGCTTAGCTTATCAAAGTCACATCATGTCATATTATTCACATACTTGTTTGAGACTAAGCCCCTGAATGCTGGAACTATGCCTATTGCAAACATTTTATTTACTCTGACATTGGTGCTATACCAGTGATTATTCATTTTCATAAACATTTATTGAGTTCCTACCATATACTGGGTACCTATTCATTGCTAATTATAGGAAGATGAATAATATTGAACTTCCCCTTGAGGAATTTAGTCTCTTGGTAGAGGAGAAACACATGTGTCTTTTGTAGTTTTTTATTTTAAAAAATATTATTTTAAAACGAGCATTCTTTGTTCATTTTGTGCCCCAAACCACTGGAGCTTCAGAAAGCTCCATTTTTAGTTTAGTATTTTTTTTTCTACTTCTCTGTATAGTCTCCTTTGCAATGTCATTCTCTCTTGCACAGCTTATCCTCCAGTTTCTCAAAAACAGTGTTTCTAAATCTAATATTTCTTAAGCATCAGACCCATACAGTCAATAAATATTTAGAAAACTGAACTCAGTGGTTAATTTAATGTGGAACAGGAATGTACTTCATACATTCAATAGCCTCTCTGGTGGTTACAGTTGAGTGGCCCATAATAACTTCATGACCAGCAGATACCTAACTGCATATTATGGAGTACATTATAGTAATACAATACATGTACACATTATGCATTAATCCTATTGGGTAATAAGCATTTCCACCTCTTCAATCATTAATCTTTTTTATATATTGGAAATTTCATAGTCTTCTTTCCTAGTTATTTTGAAATATATTWTAGGTTGTTCTGCCCAATGGTTACCCTACTTTGCTAAAGAAAAACCAGGAGTGATCCCTTTAATTAGTGTTGTAAGTACCTCTCATTGAATTTCAGGATATACATTTGGATAGATAACTGCAGTGCAGGTTTACAGGTGAGAGAACATTGAAGGCACACCTTGCTGTAGAAGTGATAAGGAGCTGAACTTAGTCTAATTAGGGATCCAGGGAAGTTTCTAGAGATGATGCTAGTATCCAGATGAAGAAGAGTGGGAGGGAATTCTCAGTGGAGTGAAGAGCATGAATAAGGAATTGGATGTGTGAAAAAGCAGGGTGTGTAGAAAGAGCAAGGTATTTGCTGTTACCAAGGAATAATAGGAGAAGCAAGAATCGGTGGGGGAAATCCTGGAAGGAACATCACATCCTGAAAGATTGAACCTGACACATTTAATAGCAATTCATCTCTTCTTTTGTTTCCTTTACTTTCTGTGGTGTTGGAAAACAAATCTGAACCTCAGCACTGGGTAGGGCAAGTGCTCTATCATTGAGCTACATATCCAGCCCCTCCATGGCACACTTTTATTCTCTGGGTGTTGGTCAGCTCTTGGAAGGTGTTCAGCAAAGAAATAAAATGGTCAGATCTACTTGGAGTATTTTTTTGTCTTTTTGCATACTCTGCACAATGAAACTAAGATAAAAAAGATGAGATAGATTATTAAAATAGTTAAAAAAAATTCCTGAACCAAGGTTATGTTAGTAGGAATAAGGGAAAAGTATACAGTCAATAAATATTTAGAAAACTGAACTCAGTGGTTAATTTAATGTGAAACAGGAAAGTGGAATGATGGGTCTAGAAAACTTCTGGTTTCTGGAAATAGTGGCTGGGTGGTTGTGATGCTTCTGACAGATCAGGATGCAAGAGGAGCAGATTGGATGGAAATGGAAAGATACTGAGTTCAGTTTGGGATCTGCTGGTCTTGAAGTTATTATGGGCCACTCAACTGTAACCACCAGCGAGGCTATTGAATGTATGGGTCTGATGCTTAGGAAATATTAGATTTAGAAACACTGTTTTTGAGAAACAGGAGGAGAAGCCCTGAAAGAGAGAATGACATTGCAAAGGAGACTATATAGAGAAGTACTCAAAAATACTAAACAAATGGAGCTTTCTGAAGCTCCAGTGCTTGGGGCACGGAATGAACAAAAGAATAGGAACTTGAAGATAAGATTGAGCAATGAAAGAGAATTGAAAAAAAAAAAAACCTCTAATGGATACCAAGGATGTAGAAACTCTTCAAAGGGGGAAACTGTGAGGTATATTTGTGTTCTATTTTTACAGATGGGCATTAATAGGTACAGTCTTGGTGGAATTTTATCTGTTCATTTGAGAGAGTGAAGGACAGATTATAGTGGTTGAGAAGTTAAAGGGTAATAAGGATATAGAGAAGGAGGGTGAATAATTTTTCTTCAGAAAGAAACCTTGTCTGAGACAGGAAAAAGAGAAACTAGTCAGGGGCTGAACAGAGACTTATGGTCAGGGAAAAAAATTTTTTTTTTCTTCTAGTAGATGAGAAAGCCTTGATTATCTGTATAGGTCTAAGGCAGAGAACAGCGAAAGAAGAAAATGATGAAAATACAGGAGGAACCAATACTCCTAAACAGTTCTTTAAGGTTCTAGAGGAAAGGGAAAAAATAGTATTGTGAATATAAGTATAATATGTCCAATAATTGAAAATCAAATTAACAAACTATATTATAGAAGAATACTTATTGCCATGTATTATATAGTATATTAACATATTAAGTTAGATATGAAGCATATATTTGGTACTATATAGTCATATAAAAATTTTAAGTTAAATAACTGTGGGTTTTTTTGTGTGTGTGATGTATTTTTAAAGTAAAAAGCCAGCTACCATGCAAGACAGCAGTCTCTCAACTCTTCGAGTTCCCTTTCAGTCTTGTTCTATCTTTCTGCTTCTCTCAGTCTCAGGTTCACTCAAGGAGAGAATCAGGAAGTCCCCTCTTTTTTCAAATTTTTAAAATTTTATTTTGCCATGTATGACAGCAGGATGCATTACAATTCATAWTACACATGTAGACTATAATTTTTCATATCTCTGGTTGTATACAAAGTATATTCACACCATTCATATCTTCATACATGTACTTAGGGTAATGATGTTCATCTCATTTCACTGTCTTTTCTACTCCCATGCCCCTCCCTCTTGTCCCTGCCCTTTGCCTAATCTAGAGTTCATTTAATCCTCCCATGCTCCTCCTCCCAACTCCACTATGAATGCCATGATTTTATTCTCTTTTATTGCTGAGTAATATTCCAGTGTGTATATGTAYCACATTTTCATTATCTATTCATCTACTGAAGGGCATATAGGTTGGTTCCACAGTTTAGCTACTGTGCATTGTGTTGCTATAAACATTGATGTGGCTGTGTTCCCATAGTATGGTGTTTTTAAGTCCTTTGGGTATAGACTGAGGAGTGGAATAGCTGGGTCAAATGGTGGTTTCATTTTTAATTTTCCAAGGAATCTCCATACTGGCTTTCCATATTGGCTGCACCAATTTGCAGTCCGACCAGCAATGTATGAGTGTGCCTTTTCCCCCACATTCTCGCCAACACTTATTGTTGTTTGTATTCTTAATAGCTGCCATTCTGACTGGAGTAAGAAGAAATCTTAGAGTAGTTTTGATTTGTATTTCTCTATTTGCTAGAGATGTTGAATATTTTTTCACATATTTGTTGATTGTATATCATCTTATGAGAAGTGTCTCTTTAGTTCCTTGGCCCATTTATTAATTGGGTCATTTGGATTTTTTTTTGTGTGTATGTGTGTGTTTAGCTTTGAATTCTTTATATRCMCTAGAAATAAGTGCTCTATCTGATGTATGAGTAGTAAAAATTTGTTCCCAAGATGTAGGCTCTCTATTCACCTTATAGATTGTTTCTTTTGCTGAGAAGAAACTTTTTAGTTTGAGTCCATCCCATTTATTGATTTTTAAAATTTTAATTCTTTCACTAAAGGAGTCTTATTAAGGAAGTAGGGCCCTAATCTGACWTGATGGAGATTYGGGCCTACTTTTTCTTCTATTAGGCRCAGGGTCTCTGGTTTAATTCCTAG